GGTTGAAAATAAGTGGACGATAATCTAATAAAACCAACTACGGCCATCTGTCGCATTCGCTAATCAGCTGATAATGTTCGAACATTGCTATAGAAACGAGCAGGTTGATCAGCTTCAATAGCTGAATTTTCTAATCAATCGTTAATAGTACTTCCTCTATCTATTCTACGTTCTTTATTTTTCTTCTCTTACATTCTATACAGTTTGTTTTTAATAAAGAAAGATATCAATTTTTAATAATTATTATATCCATAATATTAGGTTCGAAGTTTCGTTTAAAAAGAACGAAAACAGGTCAAAAATCCAAATAATTTCCATTATTGTTGACGACTCTGCCATTTTTCTTTTCGATAGAAACTCGGTGGTTTTGATTCGATTCTGCGAATCCAGTCGGAAAGAATTCATTCCTAATATAAACGTCACATCATCCCTCCACCATTTTTCAGTCGCATGGATGAATTTCGACGTATCGCAGCTACTTGTTTCAATCACGTACGTCCACAGAAAGTGTCAGTAATTGCACGGGGGTACACACAGTTTTCCAGCTCCCACGAAATATCAGTATGCACAAGGATCAACGGTAGCGCGATAGGAGGCGCGGCAATCAATGATTTCTACCTGTATTAACGTCCGTCAATCACGGTATTAACAATTATTTGACAAGTTACATAATCCACAGTTGGCTTAGTATCAGGTCGTTTTAGCCGAATTTACTTGGAACATGGTCTCTATTTTCTAACTTAACCAGCTGCATCGGTAATACGCGAAAGATCAGTTTATAAGGGAGCGAAAAATATGAGAATCACGTGTGACATGTTTGCCTAGCGATTCGTTATCGACAGCATATTCGCGTTCTCCAAGTGCGCCGTCAGTAATTTATCGAATGAACACGAACAGATATGGTGTCGACGTGAAAAATCAAAGTTTGAATGGCGACGAGTAAATTTTCGATAAAAGGTATTCCTGTGAAAATAACCGTTCTACGGTAATTCCAGATTATATTCATTATCGTAACTATATATCACTGTACTAGCTTTACAAGGAAATAATTACCAAGCAATTTTGACGGACAATGTAAACTTAATCGACATTAACTCGTTTAATTACCTATTTAATTACACGTTCAATTAATATTTATTATTCACAGAGGATATCATAATCGTTATTATAATTAAACGTTACGAAACTTGAGATGATAAATCATCTGAACACCTGTTTCGCACGAAATTACGAACCATCAATCGTACGTTCTTAATTTCCTGAGGCTCGAGGAAGAGCTCGAATTTGCAACTAACCTGGAAGCGTTTCGATCCTCTTCCTCTTCGAGAGATAACAATTTCTCTTCTTCGGGGCTTCGCTGATCCGCGATAACAGTTTAGAACACGCGAGCGAGGTAATTGCGTCGGCCGTCAGCTGCCACTTTTTCGCCTTGAATTTCTCCGGTACCGTAAACGGAAGAGGGATAATGACGCGTTTAATGAGTGAAAATTATGAGACTATTCGACCATAAAATTTACATAATCGCGTCGCGTCTTGACCGTTAGCTTTTCGAACGTCTCACACGTTTCCGTCGAATTTCCTTCTTAGCTTTAATCCTCGTTGCGCAAATTGGAAATGATCGTTCTTCCCGCGAATTATTGTTATCGAAATTTTTGAAATTTTACGGTAATAAAGAAATTACGTGCGGTGTTTTGTTGTTATTTCTGGTCGATTTGTTCAAGTGAAGGATCAACTCTTTGCGAGATTGGGGATGGGTCGATTTCGAGTACACGATGCAATTGATGACACCTGATTTGCATGATACGCCTCGATACGATTCGATCGACTCTATTCAACCGACGCTAAACGAAAGCCGTGCATAATGCCACTTTTTATGCAGCTCATTTGCATCTAAGATGCTCGTCAGCGATGCTGTTTATGCGGTAGAATGGGCGAGCCTCGTCTTCTGTAAAGGTTGCATCTTCGAACAGTTTGTTGCCATTTTAATTCAATAAATTTTGTGTTACATGTTTCTGTACAAGAATTGATTCTTTGAATTGATGAAAAAATGTCGATGATCGGTAATTATGGGATGTATAAGATTTTCTTCTTTGTACGAATTTTTGCTGTAGTCATAAAGAAAGCAACTAATTACGTTTGTCACGGTACCGTGAATTTTGTAATTTGTAGCAGCAATTAAGAATTTCCTTGGAAGCATTGGGAAAAGTTCTTGTTTAACGATTCGAGTAAAACCTTTATTGTCGAGAAAGCTATAGGTAGAAGAGTTTTATGAGGAATCGGTTTTCGAGGAACGTAGACACGCGAAAGTGGACTTTTGGTAAACATTCTCCACAGTTTTTATCGGAGAGAGATTGTCTCGTCGTGAAATTGCAGTTGCGGTGCTTGGGATAGAGAATTTACATCGATCCTCTGAATCGGTTGATGCAGTATTCCATAATTTTAAGAAATTTATGACTTTGAATTGAAATAAATTTGTCACTTTAACTTTTAACAAATTTACAACTTTGAATTTTAACAAATTTATCACTTTCAATTTTAGCAAATTTGTCACTTTAAATTTTGACAAATTTATAATTTCAAAGTTTAGCAAATTTATCATTTTAAACTTTACCAAATTTATGATTTTTAATTTTATCAGATTTGTAACTAGCAAAATTAAATTCCAGTGCAAATTTTAGCAATACTGATATTCACAGGAATACTGTCAAAAAATTGGAAATTTAATTTCTTCACTTTTCCCATTACTTTTGCAACGTTCCCTCCAATTTTCCATTCAGCAAATAAAACCAGAAGCATCAGCGAAGAACATATGAAATTCAATATCCACGGTCGCGGCTCATTTTTTAAACGAGCCTCGACCCTCAAAGTGTCTACCCTCTGCGGCGAAAGGGCTTCGATCCAACCCTTTTCACACTTTGTAAAATTCGTGCCGTTTCGCCGATAAAAAGGACGCCGTGAAATCGACGCCGTTGCAGGCACATGTTCGATCAGGCCGCGGAAATATTGGGAATTACACGAAAGATTTGCTACCCGGTGCGTGCAGAATTGAAAATCAAATAAAAAAAGGAAAGGGGCGTGCCGGCATCCAATGGACGAAAGTGTCGAACGCGAGAGAAAAGGGTTCGTCGAAGGCTTCCGAGGTGATCCGCTCTAATTGGATAATTTATCGGCCACGTCGATAAATAACGTTTCTCCGGCTGATCGTGCAAACGGATCGTGTCACGGATCGTTCTCCTTTCTCGTTATACCATACGATCAATTTCGTGAATTAGCAGAAATTTTTCATCCCTCTGACGTACGTTTACGTAAATTTTCATTACAGCGTAGAAAGTTACGCTTGATAAATTAACCCTTTCGCTGCCGTGTGATAAATGTTTAACCACGCCCGCAAAATTTATTATTTCAATAGAAATGTTTCGATAATTTTTAAATAATAAATTTGCTCGCGCTATACTTTCGGAGCCTTTCGGAGCACTTCCAGCTTAATTCAATACTGAATTTTATTTTATCAAAATATCGTAATCAACATTTCATCAAAATAAAATTAAGCATTGAATTAAGCTGGAAGTGCTCCGAAAAGCCCCAAAAGTGTAGTTCTCGTAAATTTTCAAAACGTCTATAGTCATGAACGCCAAAACGAAAGGGTTAAGAAGAAAGTAAAATTTTCGAAACTGCATCGTCGACTAGAGAAGAACTGCGCAGCGCGCTTCGCG